CTGAGGACTCTTTTTGAACTCCATTCCAGAATGTAACTTTGATCCCACTCCACAGTTGCCACTACTGTGACCAGGAGATATGTTTGTAAAATCCCTACAGCCAGAATGCGTATCTGTTTGACGTAGCTACAAAAAAGTACTGACAAATTCTATATATTTCTTTTGGCATTTTAGAGGCAACACCAGATTCAAGATTACATCATTTCTGACTTGTATTTGAATTTTTTTTTTTTTTTATTACAGTTACTTTGAGGAACTTTTCACTGGTTATGAAACAGTCTCAATTGAATACTGATGCCTCTATAGTTATTCTAAATGCTTGCCACCGGGTTGGATTCAGCGCAAAATCATATTGAATCATGCAGGTTCACCAGAAACCCCTTCAGCTCAGACTCCAGTAAGGCCTCCGGCAGCGACCAGCACAGCGTACCGACCCAGATCCGGCTTTGCTGCCTCCTTTGACCTGCAGTAGGAGGCTCCAGCGGGATGAGGAGAGCTCAGCGCCCGGCAGCAGCGTCTCCTCCTCCCGCCAGGAGCAGAGCTTCACCTCTCTGCTCATCCGGTCCCCGCTGGGAGTCAACACCGACACTACGCTGTTGGAGGCCCAGGCCGTATTGTTTGGCCCTGCTGGAGGGAAGGGATGCATGGGAGAACCAGAACTAGGACTGAGTGGGGCAGACGCTAAAGTCCGCCAAAAAATGGCAAAAAGTCAGCAAAAAAATGAAAGTTCCTTGTAGTAACTCTTAAGTGTGTGATTTTATTCACTATTCATCCATAACATTGCATACATTTGCATACTGTCCTGCACAAGAGGACATCTTGTCTGTAACTTCATGTCTTCTTGTTGTGAATCCATCGCAGCAGCTCACGTAAAGCTGTGCCAACGTGGATTTCAATGACATCATCCTATACTGCTCATCATAGTGATGAGTCAGCGTGTGTATTATCTGTTATCCCGTGTGTCAATACATGTAGGATTACATCATACATGTGATTTGTAGTGTAGGAGGTTATGTGTCATTCAGACCAACAGCCACATAACCGTCTCGGTTTGCTGACTGGCAAAAACGTTGTGGCATTGTGAAAAAAAAGTGTTGTTTGGATTTGAGACATTTAGAATTACAAATGATTGGAATCAAATGAACAGTTATTGTGAAATGATGAGTTGAGTCATTAAAATTGACGGGATTATGGATCACAACTGGATCAGTTTCATTGGTATATATTGTATCTGTATTTATTCAGTTATTTATGTCATTGTGTCTTATTTGTTTTATTCATTTATGTATTTGCTCATATATATATATATATATATATATATATATATATATATATATATAAAGGAAAACAAGTTAAAATATATATATAAAATATGAATTGTGTGTGGTTTATGAGAATAACTTAGATATCTTAAAGAAAAAATCAAATCAAAGATTGCATAATTCATCAAAATTTTAAGACTTAAAAATACTTTGAAACGTTCTGTAAAGAAGCGCAGGATAAAACATGAGTTTACAAAGCTAACAGAAAAATGTATTTTGGATTCGGAGAAAATTACTGATCTATTTCTTTAATATTGAACATTTTTCTCCAGATTTACATCCCATTGAACAAGTGCAGAGGTTTTGCTACAAGTGTAATATTTGAAAAAAGCACGGAAATTCATCCTATTTCTGTGTTTTGGGGTGTATTGACTACTATGTCCTCCGTGACCCTGTGTCCCCTTATCGGTCACTACCAGTAACATGTTCCCATATTTCTGAATCCAGTTTAATGTCTTTTAGTTTGAAATGGACTCCACAATCACAATTCAATCTCATTCGCCAGTCTGCCTTTACAGATCATTCAACGGGCTGAACGTCTGCGTAATCCAGAAACGTTATCCACTTACAGTAACGAGGCACTTAGGCTGCAGTCAATACCTTCTCAAAGATAACGCGCGAATCAAATCAGTGGCACATAAAAGATCTGAAGCCTTACTTTAGTCAAAACCAAAAGCGAAGGCCGGGATAGGAGCGGGTCGGTCAAATCGAGACTTTAAATGATGACGCATCATCCGCGAGACAGTAACACTGACTGAACTTGTGCCTTGTTTCTCCGCCGTTTGTAGCGGCACGCAAGGTATGCAGGCCTCGGTGTGTGTCAGCTTCCTGTGGTGCGGTGTTGTGAACGTGGCGATGGCCCCGGCGAGGTGTGTCCGTCCCACTCACAGCCGCTCAGCATCAATCAGGGAGGAAATGGTGGCAGGAGAACAACAGCAGCAGGCTGAGTGCGTCGGGCATGGTTCATTTTTCTCCCGAGGCAGAGGGCGGCCCACTGGTGACTTTGATGGATAGGAATGCTGCTCACCCACACACACTCTCACTCCCACACATACACGCCCACGCATGTCCCACACACCAGCAACGTGCTCACATATACAAACTCGGGTGCGCGCACACACACAAACACACACACACAATCACACGCAGGCTGCTCTGTCCCACCAGATCTGATATCCAATGAGAAATGTTTACGACCCGCCCACACGGCCTTCCTCCCTTGTCAATAAACTCATCCCATAAGTATGTGTGATGCATTATCATGTAGCTGCATATGGGGTTTGCTCTTGCATCGCTCCATCACAGGCTCACCCATGTGCATCTTGCTGCACCATGCAGCACACAGGGGGGAAACATTTGGCTTGCCGATGATACATTTGTGCATTAACGCCATTGTTTTTCTCAATCAGATTGTGAGTTGTCACATTAGCGCAGATAGAATGAGGGGACATACTGTACTAGCTGCTGTGGATTAAAACAAACGAGATGATGAAATTAGGTCTCCACCCAAAATACATAAAACATTTGCAGGGGGCCTGCTCTTTTCTAGAGATCCAGGACTTTTCCAGGATATTTGTAGTGATGATCTAGCTGGTAGGACAGACAGGGATCGTGCCAAATATGTTCCTTTCGCCTGGCGTAGCCAAGGTTTAGCCGGAGTTTTGGGCTCCCATTCATAGTTTTGACCTCGGCCTCCCATTCATTATCATCCAACGCTCTCAACACGTTTAAAATCCATCGCATTTTTTTCTCCAGAATGAGAAACCGACACTCTCAGGACCGACATTACATGTAGTGAGAGCTGCACCTTTGTGATAAAACATCAGATTGTCTGCTCAGCTACGAGGTCTTAACTCACTCAAACAAGGTCAGAGTGTTCTGCACGACCGGAGCTGTGCTGACAGCCAGACCTGCTGACGGGCGCAGAAGAACTTGACTCTCTCGAGGCCGGAGTGACAAACATCAACGCACATTAGCTTCCGCTGTGCATTAAAACCTCCAACACACACACACAGACACACAGACACACACGGGTCCCGTATTGCAGTCCTGCCAGCACGACAAGCATCAAAACAAGCTATGCGGAGCGTGATTAATGAAAAGCGCAGCGTTTTTTGACTCCTAACAAAGAGTTGCGTTGCAAAGCATAGGAGGGAGTTTAACCAACTCCTTTCACTTTGTTCATCTGAGTCAGCATCTTCCCCCAGAGAGGGAGAGAGAGAGGGAGAGAGAGAGAGGGAGAGAGAGAGAGAGAGAGATAGAGAGATAAAGCTGTTGGTGCTGGGCAAAGACAGGGACCTTTGTCTGCTTACTCGTGGAGTCTCTGGGAGATGTTTCTTTCGAACACACTCTGCTTTCTCTATCTCTATCTCTCTCTCTCTCACACACACACACACACACACACACACACACACACACACACACGCGGATGATTCAGTTCTCAGACAGTGTGATAACACGGTGCCGGGGCACAGCGCCCGCTGCACATTGTGTGTCTCTGTAATCAAGACGGAGAGTCCGTGCTGGTCCTGAGGCTTGAAGAGAAGGGCGCTTTCATGCTGCATTGGTAGCATGCATTGCGCAACATCTCTCTTGTCCTTGAGGTGAACCGTATGGCGATGGTTATCACATATCTGAGTTACATGGACGTGATGGTAACACTTTCTATGACGCCCGTATCCCAAACATGCAAAAATCATGCAATCTAAAACGGCACTGACTGACCTGTAATTATGAAATATTGTGATTCTTGACTTTATGAGTCATTATTAAATGCTTTTTAATGTTTTAATGTAATAAATCATCATGAGTGCTTATAAATATGATTATACAGTGCCATAAGCAGATAATAATACAGTAAAATATGTTTAAAATAGTATTATAATATCAGAGTAGCAGTAATAATAACCTATGGTCATAATTAGTTATTTTACTTTTAATACTTAAAGTACATTTAACTGAAAATACTTAGACAGAGTATATTTTGTTTGTACTTTTGTCATGTTGTATAAAAAGGAAGTTGACAGACTGGCTTTTTCCCTCATGTGTTTGACAAATGCCCATAAAGATCCCCAACAGATGCGCACAGTTCCCCGAAAACACAGAAACAAATTGTGCCAGAAAAGTTTTTGTTTATCTGTTGGACGTGTCCTCGTCTCCATGGAGCCTGTTTACCTGCTCTCTGTTGCCCGGTGACATTTCTCCCTCTTGTGTCGTCAAACACTGGCAACGCCCCTCGCGCTGCCGAAGCGTCCGCTTCATTAACTGTTTTGTTAAGGTGGAATAAAAAGAAGACCAGCGGTGTTTTGTTACTATTTGGATCTCCAGCCTCCATTAAAAAAAGCCTCCGCTGCTGCTCAAAGAGCCGCGCGCGCATTGACACAATTTTGGGTATCTTTATCTATTGCGGCTCTCCGTGGACACGTTCTTTTCCCAACGGACGGGCACGCGGCTGAACTTCAGAGGCGGTTACTGGAGGAGGAGGGGGGG